GAATAATTTGATTTTTTCTTTACAAAGGACAAAAGTTATCTTTACTTTATTTTGAATGACCGTAATGTGTAAACATCGAAAAACACGTATACACCGGTCTTTTCAATGTACCCGTTTGATGTATCGATTTTATAACCATAATCCTATATATACGAAATATCTATTTTTCACAATTTTTAATCTGATATGGAGGTGTTATAAACTAACAGTAATGATACAATCTTCCATATTTAAGAAAGCTGCTAATTCGATTGACAAAGTACATATAAAATTACTTTGGAATCAACGATTTACGTTGGAAACTATAATTGTTTTACCTGAAGATTTCTTGAATATGCACTTCGATAGACGTAATACACGTGTTTAATAATTAAAATGGGGAGTCTATTTCGTACACGGAGTATTCACAGTAATAACATTTGAAGTAATATATATATATATATATATATATATATATATATATATATATATGTGTGTGTGTGTGTGTGTGTGTGTGCGCGTATGTGTGTATATATATATATATATATATATATATATATATATATTGATCATTTGACTGAAAATATTTTCTTGTGGTTTATATATATATATATATATATATATATATATATATATTGATAGATCGATAGATAGATGAAGGACTGGTAATGTACAGCGTCTACGCTTTTTATGTATTTATTTTTTGTTTTCTTGTTAGTTTTTTTTTCTATTGATATAAGGTTTGCAACAGTTGTCGGAATGATTTGTATGTCCTAGAGAGTTCGGCTATTCTTTAGGATGTATTTTAATTTTAATTCTAACAGTGATGTGTACATTTTTAAATTATGTGCACATTGAGTTTGAAGAATTGAAAACAATGACCTATTTAATGAATCTTTCCGACAATCAGAAGCTTAAATTTCACCGGTGCACTTATTATCTATCGGAAAGCGCTGATATTTTCGAGCCTACAAATAAGTATTTCCTGATAATAAACAGATATTTTGCCATTAGTCATATGATGGGAAGTATGTGAGCTCGCGAAAATTCCTCGATATCATCACGCTCTCTATCTTTCTCTCTCACACACACAAAAACACCACCACACACAATCACACGTACAAACAAACACGCAGGCACAGAAACAGAGACATGTAGAGATACGCACCCCCATGTGCGCAGATACGGAGGCACGCAGACAGTCACACACTGACGAAGCCCAATTGGAATTTGTTTGGAGAAGTAAAGACGAATTTATAATATACTTCCCGATAAAACTATTCACAGTCGATGAGTTTCATTAGAAGGATACTGATTTGTAAAGCTATATATTAAGCATAACGATCAGTAATATTTTCATAACCAGACATAATTCATGGCGTTCTATTTACACACATCGTTTCATGCTAGACGTATATATATATATATATATATATATATATATATATATATATATATATATATATATATATATATAATAATGCAAGAGGTCTTATATCGGTATCAGACGGTCACGAAACAACCGTTTCCGTTCACAAAAGCAGCAACAAATTACCAGATAACAGAACACTGTCTGTATCACAACACATCTACGTATGTAATCAAGGTAAATTTGAAATTATGCCAATATCTCAAACAGACAATCATGCTTACTTACAAATACAAGAAAAAAAACTTCATAACAAATTTGAACCAGCACGAAATGGATCATAAGCCTCACATATAAACACAGAACATACGTATAATGACCAAAGACATTGGTTGCACCAAACACACACTCAAGCGTCTATGTAAAACTTATATATATATATATATATATATATATATATATATATATATATATATATATATATATATATATGAAGAAAAATATACGGAAAAAACAAACACAAATCACAATATGCAGTTATGATGTTTTAATGTTAATATAATTTCAACGTCGGACGTTTCGGTCTAGTAGACCATCTTCAGGACATATTTATAAAACATAATTAACATTAGACTATATATAATTCAACATGAAAAGACGATGGAAATAAGAGTAAGACTAATCAAAACAGACAACTGAAATTTTTCAAGATCAGCGTTCCGATTCAATATGATCACGTCGGCGTCACGTAAGCGATGTTGTTTTTTTCCATGTATTTTTCTTCATACTTCATACTCTCGGATCTATATCCATATACTTGCTTACATATATATATATATATATATATTTGTAAAAACAAATAGACTACTCATTAGCACACACACGATCCCTTCACAACATAGGATATATAAATATATTTATATATATATATATATATATATATATATATATATGTGTGTGTGTGTGTGTGTGTGTGTGTGTGTGTGTGTATTCGCGCGTGTATGTGCGTGTGTACTGAATCCTATAATAAAACAAAAATGTATGTATGTATGTATGTATGTATGTATGTATGTAGATGGAATATGTATACATGCAAAACACACGCATACAGAATACACAGAAATGGAGGTTAGTCTAAGAAGATACAGGTGTCATTAAAGGATAAGAACGAAAACTTCTTTCCTCGCCTATTCTCTGGCCAATACTAATTACTCCATTGACCCTTAGACCGAAAAGAACTCTTGCCACCATTCGGAGAAAGGCATTAAGGTTACTAGTACACACAAAAAAATTCAATGGTGTGATATCAAAAAAAAAAAAAAAAAAATAAGGAAAATTAATTACTTTTAATAAATTTTGAAACATCCACTCTTTAACTGAAGGTGTGTTTGTGTGTCTGTGTGTGTGTGTGTATATATATATATAAGTATATATATTGAATTTTATGTATAATGTAAATATTATATATATATATATATATATATATATATATATATATATATATATATATATAGATAGATAGATAGATAGATATGTAAATATGTATTAACAATTTCAAATATATTAATTTTCAAACTGAATTTGTATTTCTTGGCTTTCAATAATTTCCTTTTAAACTTAAGATCGTTTTAAATTTCTTTTGTTGTGTTATGGAGGAGCCCTTAAGGTTTACTACAAGAATGAAGATATTTTAAATAATCTTATTGACATAAATAGAATTATCTATCTATCTATCTATCTGCATTTAAAAGAAATGAATTTATCCCATTCCTTGATATTGTTACATATGATCTCAGTCTACTTTCTTTAGAACATGCCTTGTCACGTTCTTTTGGTGTCCCTACACACACACACACACACACATATATATATATATATATATATATATATATATATATATATATATATATATATATATAGATAGATAGATAGATATATAGTGGAAAATATACATACATATGCAATATATATATATATATATATATATATATATATATATATATATAAATACCTATACATGTATATTTTCAGAAAAAAAAAAATTCAAGAGGAAGAATCCAGTAGAACTCAATGTCTAGGACAGAGAAAGGATATAATAAAAGGCTTAAACACTAATATTCCATGGAATATTAGTGTTTAAAATCACTAGAAATTTTTATCTCTTATATATATATATATATGTGTGTGTCTGTGTGTGTTTTTGTGTGTTTGTCTAAATAAAACGCTATAAATCGGTCGCAGTTTATCTCTGGTTAATCTAAACATTACTGATCACTGTACTTTATATACAGGTTTACAAATCTTTATTCTTGGACACTTTGAGGTGGTGCAATGTTTAAGCAAGCTTTTCTCGCTGGAACAATTACGACTGAGTAGTGACTTCGATCCTCACTAGGTGCCATTTTTTGGCCTTCTGCCACAATTATTCTACGCTTGGAAAATCACTAGAAATTTTTATCCTTGCAAGTGAACCTCATCGATTCCCACATTAAACCGGCCTTGTGCCATATTCAATTCTCGTGGGTGGATCGATAAATAGCGAACCTTATCGATTCGGAACAATATTATCAGGAAGTATCATAATTTTTTCTTTATTTCCCCAAACAAATTTCAATGGACATTTTGATGTTAATTTTCCTTTTCACGATTTCGGTGCAACTAAAATAATTATTAGCAGAAGCAGATTAAGAACTATCAAATTCTAATAATCTGAATACAATAGCACAGATGAATATTAAAAAATAAAAATGAGTCAAGGTGACATTCTCTGGAGAATTTGAAGGATGCCCCCACTAACATAGAGGATAATTTACAAATATTTTATTTAATTTCTTTATTTCTGATGATTACTAATATTTTACTATTTTTACTCACTAATGTCCTCATCATCAATTCTTTCTTCTACCTTTTTTTCATTTACTTTCTTTATGTCATGCATGATTTTAATTCTATCATTTTTGTACATCATCTTCTGAATAATATTATTATTATTATTCACTTATGATTGTTGTTGTCCCTCTCTTCGTTTGATCGCATGAATGTTACCCGCCCCCTGCAAATCCCTCATAAATAATGGACTATCCTCTTTTGATCCGATGGAAATAGTAGAAAAACAATATTTGTTTTCAATGAGAAAATCAGATAAATAATGTGAGAGAGAGAGAGAGAGAGAAAATCAGATTAAGCCGATGAGAACAGATACTACTCCTTGATTTCAGTCAAAAGTCCGAGAAACGATTGTATTCTCTTGCCAGGATGGCAAAATGTGACAGGAGGTCAGTTTAATATAGGAAGACTGAGCGCGTACTCCTTGGCCGAACCAGGCCCAGAAATAGTCCAACTTCCACAGCCGTCTGTCGCGCTGGCATCGGTATTGATCCATCTCTTTAGTGACTTGAGGTAGGTACTGCCACGGGCAGTCGTTACCTGATACGGGATATCTCTCAATAATATTATAATTTGCACTCTGTCCGAAGAGAGAGATACGACTAAGAGATGAAATGCAGTATTTCCGCCGGAGGGCTGATAATACATTTCGATCACAACGAAAAGACTGAGAAGTCAAAGCGATAAATCCAGTCATCATAAATACATTAGCATTAGGCAGTGTCTTGCGTACCCAAATTTTTCGTTTTTTAAAACCAGCAATTACCTTTAAATTATTTTTAAAGAGAAAAAATGTCTGAAAAGAAAGAAAGAAAGAAAGGAAAGAGAGAAAGGAAAGCAAAAGAAAAAAGAAAGAAAGAAAGAAAGAAAGAAAGAAAGAAAGAAAGAAAGAAAAAGAAAGAAAGAAAGAAAAGAAAATCCTCGAAAGAAAAGAAAGAAAGAAAAGAAAGAAAGAAATAATGAAATCGAAAGAAAGAAAGAAAGTGAAAGAAAAAAGAAAGAAACAAGAAAAGAAAGAAAGAAAGAATGAAAAAAAAAGAAAAAAGAAAAAAGAAACAAAGAAATATAAAGAAAGAAAGAAAGAAAAGAAAGAAAGAAAGAAAGAAAGAAAGAAAGAAAGGTCCTGAAAGAAAGAAAGGAAAGCTTCAAAGAAAGGAAAGCAAGGGGTGAAAAGAAAGAAATGAGAAAGAAAGAAAGAAAGAAAGAAAGAAAGAAGAAGAAAAAGAAAGAAAGAAAAGAAAGAAAGAAAGAAAGAAAGAAAGAAAGAAAGAAAGAAAGAAAGAAAGTCTCCTGCCAATACCCGATAAATAATGGACTATTCCTTTTTTGTGTGTAGGAAAAAATGACATACGCTCTTTGGTTTCAATGAGAAAATAAATAAAAGAAAGAAACAAGGAAATATAGAATTGTTTCACGGCTGCTTCAGCGAAATGAAAAATATTTTCATTTGTAACCACTTCTTAAAATAATGCTCTGCATTCATATTTATATTTGTTATCGCAATATTTTGTTAATGTCTTGTGCAATTATCTTCCGGCTTCCTGTATCTCGGCATTTATTAACATTATTATTATTATTATTATCATCATTATTATTATCATTATTATTATTTAGGCACCTCTACTGAATTTTCGATACCTGAGGTTTAAAATGAGGTTTTATAAATTAAAAAAAATCATACTGAAGCATTTTTAGCTTTAATTTTAAGCTAAATAATTAAATTTACTATTTCCAGTAGGCAAAATACTCTGGTGTATTTCAAGTAGAAATTATATTGATTTGAATCTCAAATTTTTGCTGGCTTTTAGAAATCGTTTAAATTTGGCCATTTTTGACACATTTGTATACAAAAATTAATTCTAGATTTTAAAAATCTTCCAAAAATAAAAATACAATTTTCTAAATGTTTAATTGAGGAATACCAGCTGATTTAAAGTATAAGTAATCTGATTTGAAAAAAAAATTTACTCTTAAATAACAGAGAAATTGATTTTTAAAACAAACAATAGTGCGATTAAGTGCTTGTCAACACCTCGTAAATCACTCGTCAAGTGATTTACGAGGTGTTGACATTTATTATTGTTCTACGGAGACCTCATATTTTCAAACATAATTTAAAACATAATTTAAGAAAATTACGGTTGAACGATTTATTAAATCATATTTAACTACTCAGTGATTTTAAAAAGTTTGGAAAATGTTCTCCGTAATGTAATTTTAGGAAAGCTGAATTTAAATTTAGGTTAACCATCGCTTTTATTTTTGATTATGCCGTGTATGGCCAACACACAACTTTGTATGATCACCATTCTTTCAAACTGTGGCACGTTACGTATACTTAAAAATATACATTTTTTTAATATTGCAGGTAAAAGACCGTTATTCAGCTTTTCAAATTTTGATTCGTAAAAATATTCGTACATACAGATTTCATTTAATAACAATATCGCCTCATTGAATAAAGCAGAATTTTACACAATTTATAATATTATAATTATTTCTTTTAATGAAAGCATTCCTTGTTAAAATCCATTATACATAGTAAATGTTTTCATTAAGACAATAGTGTCATTAATAAATCTTATTTAAAAAAGCAATTAAAAGCTTCTCTAATTAAAAAAAATATAGTTTTAATGCATTTCTATTTTACAATTTGGAGCAGATTTTCGGGAAATCATTAGTAGTTGGAAAGAAAAATTGACGATTTACATTCTCCAAGTGTCCTTCTTTAACAAATAAAAAAATTGGGATTGAAATTTAATTTTACGAATTTTCATGAAATTATGTTTGTGAGGAGGTATGGTATGTAAAAACATAGTTCTTTTTACCAAGATTTTCTAAAAACAAACGGATTAAAAAATAACTTCCTTCATTTGTAAATATGTTCTGAAAGTTTCATTAAAATCCGAGAATTAATTGATTTTTGTATAAATTTCCAATTGAACGTGTTTTTCTCCGGAAAAAAGGAACCAAAATAATAATCGTAAGTCAACCGCTGACGTAAAAAAAAAAAATATATAAGCAAAATTTCGAATATGCTAGTAAGGATTAAAATATTAAAAAAAAATAATTAAAAATTCGTTTGGTGTTTCTTTTTAATGATGACATAAATATTTTGACTTTGTTTTTATTAAGTTTGGGGGCTTTTATCATCGTGCTATGCAGTTTTTCAGCGAAAAAGTGGGGGTACCTATTATTCACGTTCTTTTTCTTCTTATAATTATTATTATTATTATCATTATTATTATTATTAGTGTTATGTTTCCAGCTTTGTATCCTGTAGAGCCTGGTAGAAAATATGTCATTTAATTGATAGCATTATTCTTAGTGTAAGAGATGTTCTTCGTTGGCGATTTTCTGGGCATATTTATGTTAATGGTACCTAGCACACTGTTAGTAATATAGACCATACTTTTCCTCACGAGACCCAGATCCCCGATTACTATTGGTACAATCTCAGTTTTCATTCCCCACTTCCTGTTAATATCTATCTCCAGGTCATTGTATCTGAAATATTTCTCGATAGTTCTTGAGGTGTTTCTCTCAGATGGTACTGCTATGTCAATTAGCATGCACTTCCTGAATTTCTTGTCTTTTATGATAATATCAGGTCTGTTGGCATTTGTTCCCGAAGATAGTTACATCGTTATTTTGGATAACTGTGTCTACTTGGTGCTCATACCATGCCTCAGTGATTTCGAATATGTGCTTCTTGTATATCTTCCAGTGAACATATGTTGCTATCTTTTTATCGATATATTCATTTCTTGCCAGTTCCGGATATCCTATGATAATATGGTCGAGTGTTTCATCATATTTTCCACATATTCCACATTTCGCTGTAGTAGCATCCTTGATTATTTGACAGTGATAGGCTCTCAGTGCAAGGATTCGGTTCTAAACTGCGATAATTAGGCTTTCTGTCTCAGTTTTCAGCCCGATTTCCCTTAGCCACTGACATGGTTTCTGTTGGTTCACATCTTCTTTAGTCCTTTTTATGTATTTGCCATGCAACGACTTCTCCCATTTCTTTTTTGTAATTTCATTTAGCCACGTTGTTTTGTTTTCCGTTTGACTCAATTAAACGTGTCGATATTCACTTCGATTTTTGTTAGTAGGATTTAAGATATAGTAAGCTGTTTCTTGAAGAGTACAACGTATATGTTGACGTATTGCAATAAGTGTTTTTGTATTTGAAGATGATCATTGTTTTTTTTTTATGAGATAGGCTTCCAATCCGATTGTTGTAGATTTAGAGTAAGTACAAGTTAGATTAGGCATCAGTCTCCTAAAGCTTTTGGTACATACAGCCTATCAACATCTGATTTCGAGTAGTGCATCCTCATATTTCTGGTCGTGGTGTCCATTCTTTTAATGTCATTCAACTTCCATGTTGAAGCTGTATGTTACTACGGGTATAGTTAAGGCTTTGGTAGCCTTCATTTTATAAACACCATTTAGTTCGCTTTCTAGTATCAAAAGCACTCTCTTTTCGGATTCTTTTCTTCATAATTCAGCGTTGTATTCTGTCGCCTTCATTAATTCCTACGTATTTGTATCTATCATCTTGGCTTATTTCCTTAATCTTGTTTTTGATATCGAGGTCTTAATCCATAGTTTTCGTTAGTTTACCGCCTTTGAAGGTGGCTTTGACACATTTGCCATTCCAAACCTCTATTCTAATATCTTTGCTGAAGGTTTATCTGCTGGCTGTAATCCTTGGCTGACGTTTTAAAATCATCAATCTAAAATCGGTGATTTAGGTTGCAATTCTGTGACTTGTATCCGTAGCTATTGTTGTTCAGTAGACTGCTGAGTGGCGTTAATGCAATACGGAAGAGTAATGGTCACAATGAATCTCCTTGCAAGATCCTGCTTTTGATGTTGATTGCTCTCAATGTTAATGATCCGTTTGTATTGTTTAGATAGAGTGTAGTCTTTCAGTTTTTCAGGCTCTCCTTTATGGATTTTACCGCTGTGGGACATAGTCTGTATATATTAGGCTCTAATTTGTGAGTATATAATACATTCGATCGCACTTCTGCAGTCAGTCAATGCTGTCGATAAGTTTGTTTTCACTTCTTCTAATATTGTTTTTTGTTGATAATGAGTTGGTGATTGCCCCTGTAACTTCCTCTTTTACATCAATTCTGTTCTGCTTCGAGTAATTTTTTATTTTTCTCAAAGAAGTTTTATGTCATTTTGGTTACAATAAAAGAGTTCAACAGGGTTGAAATCTGAGACAGAAACCATTATATATTTTTGAATGCACGTGATGCGGCTATTGCTTATCAGATTCTGGTCTCTTCTATTTTTGATAGTAGGTATGTATGATCGATTTCGGGCATTTTCTGTGTTTAAGATTATAACATTGTAAGTCCGTGCGAAGTCTTGGTGCGTGCTAGGTATTTTTTTTTTATCCTAAAATTTGCTATTCGTTCTATTCCTGGTGCAATCCAGGTTTGGTTTTTCACCGTTCTTTTACAGTAATATTGATAACCGTCCATTTTTGGCACACTATTTGAATGTGTTGTTCCTGTTGTTGAATTTTCATTGTGCGTTTTTCAGTTTTCTCATATCTTACAACAGAACTCTTCGACTTCTTTGATATTAGATGGGTCATTTTATTTTCTCGATATAAATTCTTGGCATTCTCTTTAAAGATCTTGTTTTACCAGAAGAATCTATCTCTTTTTTTCATAACGACTGATTCTCTATGACTTCACTTGAATTTGTTGTTTCAGATTCTCTGACTTTTGATACGTCAGTCTTATTCTTTATGGCAAGGCTTCGTTTCAGTTATTTCTTTTTTCTCTTTTTTCATATTAGAGCTCTTGTCTACGTCACTTAGAAGTGACAATTATCCTTGTATTTTATTTATTGCTGTTTCCATTTTTCTTTCCAGACTGCCATTTTTCTTTTTCGTTGATTTTTTTTTGTTTCTTTTTTTCACCTATTTTTTTTATAATAGTTGCCGTCAGTGGTTATATATGACGATTAATTTCTCTCGGGTTCATTGGTTTTTCGATTTCGTCTTTTATTTTTCTAATTGCTTGGTTAGCAAGGTTTATGACTTTCTTCTATTGACAGTCATTTCTTACCTTTGGAATTGTCTACTTTTCTCGAAATACAATCCCTGTATATTCTCTTATTTATATCGGATGATTTTTGTCATCCCCCTTTGTCTCTCACGTTTGTCATAATCTTTCTCTATTTGCTTGTGTACCTACGATTGATTATTACAACTGCTTTCTATTCGTTCCTCTGCATGTATTTCCACTGGGTTGTTGGCGTTTAGCCCCTCGGTGTTAACGTTTAAACTATTTTTGATGTTTTGTCGGATGCTTTAGAGTTATATATCAGGTATTCTGTTTTTCTTTATGATGTTACGAATGACATTAGTTAGTTGGTAGACATCCATGTTTGTCCGTTTGAGCGGTGTTTGACACGCTAGATACTACAGGCCGATTTGGTCGTTGTTTTAGTAGGAAAAGGTTATCATTACTTCAATATAATCTTGCCTACATCATTCATAGTTATTTTAATGAATATAAGATGTCTCTGTGGAGACTGTACTCGGCGTGGTTTTCTTCTAGTTCTCGTTGAGTAGAGTTTGTTCCAGACTTTTCGATCCCAGTCAGGTTCTTTATTCCTTCTTGACCCGCGTGACGACCGATGTGGTCTAGCAATAGTTTTCGTTGTGTCAGTATTATAGCTAGTTCGTATTTACCCATACGTATGGGCTGATTCGTCGGCGTCATATCATATCCTTAACCTGGTGGGCCATCACGTTCAAAGGAGCAGTCTTCCTCGATATTTTTTTATACTGTTGGTACTATTAACAGCAAAATCTTAATTTATAAGCGTTTGGATCCCAAGGAGACACGGCGTGCTTCAACGGACTCCGGCAAAAATTCAATTTTCATAGGAATCTTTTCTTTTTTTTTTTTTTGACATTATCTCTTTTTCTCTCTTATGTTAAATAATATGAAACTACATGAAAATCTCGCTAATCCTGTTATTAGAGGAATATATTTAACCAGAATTATAATTAATATGTAGTTAATAATATTTAAAGAAATGCTTATGAGTGTTTGCATTGTATGGCTTATAAATAAATGTATATAAATTACTAATAAATAAATCTAATACAAAATAACATTAAAATAAAAATTAAAAAAAAAATAACCAAGTCGCTATCATCCCAAGCAACACTACCATCATAGTCATCACTACCAGCATTACCATCAATACAGCTATTGCATTACTCTTTATTTCTCTTCTTCCTATCTATGCCGGTCGCTAGCCGATAATGATTTATGTTTATTTTCCAATACTCTTACCACCCGTGATTATTTATATTTCAGCTTTCTCTAACCGAACAATATTTTTATATAAAATATTTTCAAGTAAATAATTATTAAAATATTTTCAAGTGACTAAGAATTAAAAATTATTTTTGCAAATTAATATAATATTGTTAATTTAAAAAAAAATATTTCAAGTGAATAAAATTTAAGAATACGAGATGTTTATACAGTTAGTATTTTTATTTCAACTTACCTTACACAGACAGTTTTTTCTTTAATGGGTCACAAGTAGTCTAGTCGGTAATGAGAGTACTCTGCCCGAATCAGGTAAAATAATTGAGATTTATGTCAAAAATGAATAAAACTTATAGGTACCGATTACATATTCGGTATATCAACAAATAATTTAGTAACATGTCTTTAAAATTATAGTATTATTAATCTAAAATTTAATTTTAAATTCTCGGCTTCATGAAACCATATTTATCATGAAAAAAGAAACATAGCAATTCAGCAATAACATTTCAAAATAATTATTCCGTAGGATATGATTATTGTTGTGGATTCCGACATGAAATTCGGTCTCCAATGAATGACAAACGCAAGAATTAAAGATAAGAAATAAAATGCATTTGCACAATAATAGAAAGGGTAATAGTGTTAGTAAGTCCAGGAACGCGGTTAGTATCAATAACATATAGATATATACAGTCTCGAAGTAGGACTTCCTTACAGTCGGGCGTGCTTGTAACTGTGACTTCTACAAGCGGTTACCTCACACTATTACTCTACCTCCAACTCACTCTTCTGTCTGTATACTGACCGACTCTGGGTATTTAACGGCAGCAGTCCAAGTATCACTTTGGTCGAGTCCACTTATATGAAAGAGGGGAGGACCCCATAATAATTAATGACACTCATTATTATAACCTGAAAATAAAGTAATAGTTTTATTTAAAAAAGTAAAGGGCAACTTTTTTAACAAAAAACTCGCCTACAAAAACGTCTAATTATACATGAAAATAGAAAAATAATCATGCACGAAGCCAATATATATATATATATATATATATACAGATCATATAATATTATTATCATCATCACCGCCACTACAATTATTATTATTACTATTAGCGGAACTTCCAAGTTTCTTTGCTTAATCAAGGACAACGATGAAGAGAAATGCGGTCATTTTTTTTTTCAAATTGTAAATTATTATGGTTTTGCGTCAAAAGAGACAAGTACTGAATAAGTCCTTGAAATTATAATCACAGACACGGATGTTGACGGATGACCTAACCCTTGTGGCAGACAGACATGAGCATTTATTCTGAGATGTTGTTCTGCTGGAGTAAATTTCAGTTTCAATATAAATAAAATTAAGGAGGACGTGATGCATATTCGAAATTGATGTTATAGATAATTTAGTTTTTGTTTTTTTCTATATAAAATCATCATGAAAATCCTCGCAAAAAAATATCTAACTGAGAGCCAACTGGGATATGAAAGTGAAGGATGATTGATATTGCATAATAATTCAGTCTTAATGAAAGTTTGCTTAGTTTTTGAATACATATTTTGAAATTCCAATGCGCATTCTGATTCTGGTGTCATATTTTCCATCGTCTGTTGAAATACGACACAGGCATAAATCTATCTGCATCACATTTGCTTTCAATTATTGAATAAGTTCTTGTAGTTTTTTTTTTCAGATTTTTATACACCCGTAAAACTAAGTCTCTTTTCTAAAATGTCCTAGTTTCGTGTTGCCTACTGAATGATTCTCGGGTGATTGAAGATTATCTCCAAAATGTCAGAGATGATTTATTTTCGGCTAGAATCATTTCTTTTTAAATTAATAGAAACATGTCCTCTTTGATTTAATAACAGTTGTTAACAAATTTCATAATTTCTGTACTGCTTGAACGACCATGAATATCTTTGCTCATATTTTTGCCTCGTTATTTTCTTTCATCCAAGAATCCTCCGATGGATTTCAGATTTGGGCTTATTGTGCGAATAGAAACTTTTAACGATCTGTAGGTAAAGTCGCTAAATTGTTATTCGGAAGTATTAACCCCCATTGTATTCTAATGTTTTCTCCATAGATCTTCTGTACCTCTACTAATTTACGTCGATTGTGACAGCAGCATTTCCATTTATGTGTTCTTATCCATACCTTGTACATTGGAGTTATTTCTTCCCATGATAGCCCAGAGAAGTATAAAACATCCTTATTCTATTTCCTGCGTACAAAGCGGAATATATGCCATCATTCGTCGGCCAACCGTAAATGCGTGTTTGATTCGATGCTTATTCTTCTTAACTGCCCATCCATTTACGGCTTGACTGATTGAAGTATGATCGCGTCTTGCAAGATGGCAATAAAAATGGTGGTAGAGTTCAGACTAGAATTAAGAGCAAAGATAATAGTCCTTTTTCATCTGGACGAAATATTTTAACACGAAATTAGTAATTAACCAAACGGCCACATATTATATATATATATATATATATATATATATATATATATATATATAAGAATAAACATTAACGAGTCAGGCAGAAACTACCTATTTTTTCACCTAAACGATTCTTCAGGATAGAATGGTCAGTCTACCCAGAAGAATCCGTTTAGGTGAAACCTAAACAGGTTTGTCTGGCTTGTTAGATTTATAATAGTCCTTTTTCATCTGGACGAAATATTTTAACACGAAATTAGTAATTAACCAAACGGCTACAAATTATGCATATATATATATATATATATATATATATATATATATATATGAGAACAAACATTAACGAGTCAGGCAAAACTACCTAGTTTTCACCTAAACGAATCTTCAGGATAGACTGGCCAGTCTACCCAGAAGAATCCGTTTAGGTGAAACCTAGGTAGGTTTGCCTGGCTTGTTAGGATTTATTCTAATTTCCGGCTATACTTAGCATACTGAGTACTCTACGTTTTCGTTGTCTTTATACTCGCTTGTTTTTTTGGTTTTTGGTTTTTTTCTTCTTTGGACTAAACTCTTAAGACACTTTTTCGCCTTGTACTGATGCTTTTACTTCTTTCTTTTTTTTACATTCAATTTTTTCCTCAGGTACCAATTTGCCCTTAAGTGTCTACAAGTTGAGTCATCTGAGTTTTTTTTTTTAATTTACAAATTCATGAATTATTCATACAAAAAACAAATACAAAGGTTAATGATTTATTTGGCGAGAAATCCATCTTCGCGAACAATTCAAATAATATACAAAAACCCCGAACCTGTTTATGCATGAAAAGATCCTTGTTTTATAAATTTCATAAACTTATGCAACTGAAATTTATAAAACAAGAATCTTTTCATGCATAAACAGGTTCGGGGTTTTATATTATTTGAATTGTTCGCGAAGATGGATTTCAAGCCAATTGAATCATTAACCTTTTGTATTTGTTTTTGGTATGAATAATTCATGAATATATATATATATATATATATATATATATATATATATATATATTTTTTTAATATGTTGAAAACTTAGACATGTTCTATTTTATTTGATTCATTTATGATAAAAGTTGATCCAAACTAATTTCTGTATGCAATGAGCCTTTTTCTCATCTAGTCATCATGTGAATTTCATATCACAGATAAAGAATATATCCATAAATAATAAGAAAATTAACAGACAAATGACATTGCTCAACAACATGATGCATAAAACCCAACGATGGGACACTGATATTAGAGAAAATGAAAATGCTTCACAGATGAAACCAATACATCAGAAAACAATTGTTAATACAAGGGCATATCGAACTGAAGGAAATATTAAAATCTAAAGCTGAATCAACCTTAATCAGACAAAAGAGGAACAAATAAACAGTACCAGAGATGCTGGTAGCATTAGCTGATTTCGGCTTTAAAAAGATTACAGGGAAGAAGTATATAACAGAGGTGATATACCGTATGGCCTAATTCGATCTTTTATAATAACACTGTTGAGACATATAACTATTATGGGAAAACACACCTATTCTATAGTTAATAGACTCTCCCTCCAAATAAAAGTAGGAGTCGTAAGAGAAACGAGGGTCAGTCGATGTCGGTCGACCGGCTGATCGGTTGAACCCTCTGCCTTTGGGCGGGGAGGAACCCGAAAGTGGCTACACCGAAAGGTGGATTCTCTTTCGGGGAGGTAAACCGACCCTGAACCCGTTTATACGGGTTCAATAGGCATATTTTTGGCCGTGCCCACGGGCTCGGAGATCCCACGTTAAACCTGCCTTGATGCCCTGGGGGGGGGTGACTAAATATCGTCAGTCAATGTCGGACGACAATCGAACTCTCTGCCTTCGGGCAGAGAGGAACCCGGACGAGGCTACACCGAAGGGCAGAATTTCGTCCGGGAATGTAGACAGACCCGATCCTGTTTATGCGGGGTCTACAGGGATTTTTTAGTCGAGGTTACGGACTCGTGAACCCCACATTAAATTCGGCCTTGTGCCACATGTGACTGCGTGGGGCAGTTACTAAATAGCGTCGATGTCGGACAACAGTAGCCGACAGTAGCCGACAGTTAGTCGAATACGAAAGTAGTCAGCGACCACAACAAGATTACTCTGCGTAATACCTATTATATCAAGTTCCTAACGTTTTGTACGTCGAACCTATTTAGGACCGATTTAGTACAAATACAAGCCTCCACGGCGAAATAACTCCACAACAATAACAAAACATATCGACCGATATCTGTGTGCTGCAGAATCAGACCTGAAATACGGCAAGTACGTTGCCGTTTCGTTAAAGACATTGCTACTAGGAATGCGATATTTATGCCCAGAATGAAATCAGATGAAAGCAATGCAAATGCAGAAGGATGAGTATCTGTGTTTTATAGATTATGCAAAATCGTTTAATAAAGCATGTTACATAGAACGGTTGGAACTGTACGGTAACCATGGCATATATGGACATCAGAATAATCATGAACTGGCAAAAAGAAGCCTTGATTCGTATAAAAAATATAGTTCCTTAAATATACTAAAATAGAAAGTATCTCTTTATATTTCTGAGATGAACACTAGTAAACGGAGAAATTTTAATTTCAGGCCATCAAGTATTTCCTTTCGATTTGACGCCCTTTCGAAAGACACGGACCCATTTAGTCTCAGAAAGCTATGGTTTAATTAGCATGACAGACTGGGCTTTGTAACATTTCTTCTCAGCTAATCAATGCGAACAACGACACTGTTTTCAAAACACTATTTACATTGCTCGACTATCATCCTCATCTTTATTGTCATATTTATCACAACGTTTCGGCCGTAGTACGCTGCGGTCGCCTTCAGGTGGTGGGTATCTCCTCAAGAATACATGGCACAGTGGATAAAGATGTTATTTAGATCCAATGAGTGGAGCCAAAGAGTGAGAGTTCAATACCTGGTTAAGGAGGTGGAGAACTTGGTGAAAGGATTAAGCAGGAGATAACTGATAACGGGCGTCCATTAGACATGGAACCTGGAACGAGAACAGTCTACCCCAGCGAGCGAAGTAAAGGGTGCAGTTCGACATTCCAACCACCTGAATAAAGCCGGTGTGAAACTTTGTGATAAATATGGCAACAAAGATGAGAATGATAGTCCGAGCAATGTAAATAGTTTAAAATAGAAAGGTGTGCAAGTCAAGGATGTATCCTCCCACAGGCCTTATTCAACATACACTGTGATGTGTCATTACTTGGGGACACAATTTTAACGAGATAAAATATGCAGATTAAACCGTGTTGATTACCGGTACAGAAATAAAACTACAAATCACTCCTACAGAAGGTAGAGAAGGAAAGCGAAAAGAAAGGAATAAAAATCAATGACAAGAACAAGCAATTCATATCCAGCAAAAGTAACAACCAAAAAATGCAAATTAAAAATCGGTGATAAAAGATTTAAATATTTGGAAAGTGTTTCAACAGAAGAGGGAAGTGTGACTCTGAACTCTGAATCTGCATTAGTATAACGGAAATTGCTTTCCGAATTTTAAACCAAATATAAAGAAACGCAAATATATAGTTAGAAAAAAAAAGAAGAGTTCTTGACTGTTATGTAATAAGAGTCGTCATAGATTGTAATGCATGCTGTACAATCTCCTCTCAAAATGCAGAGGAAACTTGAATAAACAGAAATATAGTTCTACGGAAAATGTTGAGAAGACTATGGACTGAATATGTGAGCAACACTGAATATTTAGAGAAAATGAAAACAAAAAAGAAAATTAAAGTTATCAGAAAGAGAAAGTTGCAATTACATTGGTGCATAGAAAGAGGGCGTGGGAAAGCT